TAGGATTTAGGTTTTAGGGCTTAGGTTTTAGGGTTTAGGGTGCAGGGGTTATAGAGGGATACTATAGGGGTTATTTGGGTATAATGGAAAAAAGGAAGCTACCATTTAGAGTTTATAGGGTTTAGGGATTAGGGATATTTTGCCCCAATGATGGAGAAGCAAATGGAAAGGACTATGGAAATGACATGGGCAGGATTATTCAGCGGTTTATAGGTTCCAGGGTTGTACCACCAAGGGTTCACCCCCTGTTTTGAAGATGTTTTGAAGAACATGTGCATATTGGGGGAAGTGGGGCACGCCCCGTGTGATGCAATCCCGGAACCCTTGGCCATGGGGAAGTGTGCGACGTAGGGCTACGCAAATGGTATCTTCCTAAGCAATAGGGCTCGTTTAGAGATATTCACACCTTGGTCCCTGGAATCTTGAAGAGTGGCGCGGTGCTGCAAGGTTGGCATCACGAAGCTCAACCGAGATGTTCTTGTAGGCCGCAGCCTGGAAAAAGCTGAGCTTCAAAGGATTCATGGATGCAGGGGTCTCTCGAGAGAGGGATGCTGCAGGAATCCCAGGTAGGTATATATGTGTATGTATATATACCCTAAACCCTGAACCCTAAGCGCTGGATCCTAAGGGAAACTATGTTTGAAGTACCCATGGCTCACTCACCCGCCTCGACGTGAAAGCCTTCGATAAAGCGAAAATGTTCAGTCCGCTTCAACTCATCCAAGCCAACCTCTGCGGCAGAAGGGGTACTTGTAATATCATCAGTACGGGTAAATTCTATTTCATACCATTCTTAAATGGTGACCCTAGGGACCAGAGGTTTTCATCGGAATTACGAAGGAATTAATGGGACTCCTTCGCACGGACTCTTTAGGGGTAATCTTGAGGAACTTTCAAATAGGCGGCCAGCGTGTCGTGTACATCTCCTCCAGGGGTTCTGCTTCACAGTATTCGTGCTAGCCCAGCGGCATGCCAATGCCAACAAAAAATCGTGCAACACGAAGTTATTGGCATCATTATTCTTACTACTATTCCTAGTATTACTACTACTACTACTACTGCTACTACTACTACTACTACTACTACTACTACTGTTATTTCTATCAAAGCTTTGCATCCGTGCAGCGCCTCATGGCCAACTTTGGGCCGTATCTGTTTGGCGATGACCGAAGGAAGCGGTTCCTTGCTGCAAGCTTCAGGCGGAAGCGAACTCAAATGGGGATTTACCAAAATCAGGGATACCATTGTGGGGGTCCCTATAATGAGGACTATAGTATTTTGGGGTCTATGTTGGGGTCCCCTTGATTTGGGAAACTACCACATGTAATTGGAGATCACTACGTTCCAAGCAACTTTCTGACCCAACTGGCCCGTGTAAAGAATCCAAAGCTCAACTGTGAAATCAAAGACTTGGTGTGCCAGCAAGCTGCATCATCAATAGCCATATGCACACGAACCTGTCGTGGTTTCAGGCCAAAGGAGTGCGGCGCACTTAAATCCATATTTAAAGCGTAAAGGATGTAGAAGATTTGGAATGTATAGTGGGAGATCGGGGTTGGAGAATTTGGACGAAAAGTCACAGCCAGGTGACAATCTCTCCATAATTTCCACCTTCTCCTGTGGACCTTAG